ATAAATTTATATGATGTCTCCTACTGTTAGCTAGCTCAAGGTTTTTTGTTTTTGTTTTTGTTTTTTGTTTTTTTTTTAATGCATGAACCAAACAAAATATACCTATAAGCCAGGTTTGATGGTTTGGCCACTGGTTTATAATTTCTGATCTAATCTTATCTTCCTGAAAATGAGACCCAGAAAGGTTATGTAGCTTGCCCAGAGGGAGCAGCTCACTTACAGCAGAGAGGAATAGTAACAGCAAGACTCTCTTTCCATGTTTCTCCAATTCATGAATTTGCAGGACACAGGAGGACCATCACATAGTCACCAAGTAGAACATGTGGGTCATAAAGAATGGACAAGATTAAAAGTAGTAGAGGAAAAGCTAGGTATACTCCAAACCTTTCAGCTTTAGCCACGGTGAAAACCATGCTAAACTCTGGCAACATTTTATATGGCCAATTCTGAACCATATAAATATAAACATTGGCCGGGCGCGGTGGCGCACGCCTGTAATCCCAGCACTTTGGGAGGCCGAGGCGGGCGGATCACGAGGTCAAGAGATAGAGACCATCCTGGTCAACATGGTGAAACCCCGTATCTACTAAAAATACAAAATTTAGCCGGGCGTGGTGACACGCGCCTGTGGTCCCAGCTACTCCGGAGGCTGAGGTGGAAGAATCGTTTAAACCCAGGAGTCGGAGGTTGCAGTGAGCGAAGATTGCGCCACTGCACTCCAGCCTGGCGACAGGGTAAGAATCCGTCTCAAACAAAAATAAAATAAAATAAAATAAAATAAAATAAAATAAAAATCAACCCAAGTCACAGAGGGAGGTTTTAAAATTTTATCATAAATGGGAGAAGATAATGCTTAGACCAAGGGTTAAGGTATCTATGTGACACCAGGATCAGGGTGGGGATGGTCAGGAAAAGAGAAGGTGGGACATATGCTAATGTCTCCATTCCCACACTACAAGAGGGGTCTCTTGAGTATGCCACAGTAGCTTTCAAGTGCTCCTAACAGGGTGAAAATTACTACCTTTTGGGAACATAAAAGGACATGAAATTAGTTCCAGAGACTGGAAATCCTGTTATCTCTACATTAGACCCCCCTTCTTGCCCTGCAAACCATTCTGGTTAGAGACATTCTCTGCCATACCACATAGAGCGGCTGCGACTCATGCAGTGAAGAAACAGTTCTAGGCTCCTTGTCCAAGTCTCTGGAGAAATCTTGCCCAATTAAATCATAAACATAAAACAGAATGTTTAAAATCCCAGACATAAATATTGTAAGACATTGCTTATTATAAAAACATTAAACTTAACAAATTTAAATGTAAATTTTATTATTGATTGGGCAGCATACATTGTATTCCTCAAGTAAAGCATAATCCTTCCTTTATTATACTTCACATTTTCTAGGAGATAGGCAAGTGGCCAAGAAAATTAAGACAAAGAGAAGTTTAATAAGTTTCATGATGTAAATCTGCAATAACTCTCTGACCACTTCCACTTACATCAAAGTAATGCATTCAACAGCCTAATGATTAAAATATAGATATAGATTTTAAGCAGTAATGGAATTAATATTAGTAATAGCTTTTTTCATTTTGAAATTATTTGATTAGATTCATGAGTTTAATATTACATTAAAATTTATAGATATATTTGAAGTAGTAATCGTAAGTCTTTATATAGATAGCTCACTTTGCATACTCTATTTTGCCTCACGATCTTAAAGTATAGATTATTTTAAAATACAGAATACCTTTCCAGAATTTTAAAAGCTTAAAGATTGTTGGCATAAAATATTTTTTACACTGATAGGGGTTGCTTTTCATGTTATTTCATTAATCTCACTTCAATATTAGGCGGTAAACTTGGTAATTAGTTCAGATTTTATCCCTATGTTGGTGCGTTTCTTCTTGGGTAATGTCATGTAATACAAATAGTTGTCGTCCACTAAAAGATATCCCAATAATCTGGACCAAAAATCTGGGCATGAAAGTTTTATGCACCCAGAAATTTTACTTTTCCTTTTGTTTTAGAATCTTTGTGATCAGTTCCCAGTAAAAATGGATGCAAATTTCTCTTTCTGCTATTACAGATTTGAAGTCGTGCCACAAAAAAATAAACATAGAGTTTCAATCTATACATTCTGTTGATATTTCCATATGACTAAGTATTCTTCCATAACATCATTTTTAATGACTGTATTGTGTTATGTGAGTGGACTGTGGTTTATTTAACCTGCCTGCTGTTGTTGAATTTTTTTCTTTTTTAAAATAATAATGTTTTTAACTATCCATGTAGCCAGAATTTTGCATACATTCATAGTCATCTCATTAGGGTAAACTTCTAGAAGTATCATTATTATGTCTAAAATAATATAAAATCTTGATATTGTCTTAGAGAAATGCATGTTAAAAGTTTATATGTAGAGTACTAATATCCCTAATCCTCCAACAATTCATTATTAGTAGTACATCTTTGTCAGTATAGTAAGAAAGTGTTTTAATAACCCATTATTTTAATATGCAATTATTTGATGACCACTGAGGCTGAGTATTGTTTTATATTTTCCTAGTTTTTAAAATAGGAGACATGGGAGGGGCATTTTTCTAAAAGGTCTGTAAGTAACCCTGCAGAGAGCACCTTAGTTTCATTAGGTTGAATGTGCCCATACCCCTCACTTCAGATGCACATTAATGACATTAAAATTATAGAAACATAATATTTACTTAATTTAAAAAGGGGGCAAGCCCAATCAAAACTCTGATCAAATTTCTTTTTAAAATAAAAAAAATTAAGTTAGTGAAAAACTGTGAAACTAATTGTTACAAACAGATGCAACTAACCTACATGATTTCATTTTCTCTGCAAGATATATTGTGAAATATAAATCTTTTTGAAAGTGTGCATTTTCTTTGATGAAATGTACATTTTGAATATATTTGATCTTTTCAGTTTCTGTGCATTTACATTCCTTTTAAAAAGTACTTCAATTCAAAATGTGACTTGAATTTAAAATATTTTTATTTATGCATGATTTTGAAATACATATTAAATGATCATTTATATGATGTATGAGATGTTCCTTGAAATGGGTCTGTGAAATCAAAAGACTTAAAATGTTATTGGCAGGAAATTGACCATATTAAAATAGAGATACCATTGCTGCATGACAAATAACCCCAATGTGTAGCATCTTAAAGCAACAAACATTTGTTTTCTCACATATTTTCTGAGGATGAGGAAACCAGAAACATCTTAGCTGTGTGGTTTTGACTCAGGGTCTCTCACAAATTTGCAGTCAAGCTGTTGACTGTAGTTTCTGAAGACTTGACTGAAGATCTGCTTTTAAGCTCACTAATGTGACTGTTAGCTGACCTTCCTTCTTCACCGCATGAGTCTTTCCTTAGGCTGCTCAGGACAGACCTGACTTCTAGAGTGATCCATGAAAGAGACTTTGAAAAGATAGAAGAAGGAAGGAGGGGAGAGGGAGAGGGAAAAAGGAAAAGGAAGAGGGAAAACCAAAGATGGAAGTGTTAGTCTGTTTTATAACATAATCTCAAAAGTGATGCACCATCAGTTTTACCATAAATTATTGACCTCACAGATGAATCCAATCACAGTGTGGAAGGGAACTGCATAGGTAATATATACTAGGAAAGGCAGAGATTTATTTAGAGTAAATAGTATTACTGTAAGTTAAAATTTACCATAATCAATTAGCTTGAAATAAGTGATGTCTATATGAAGTATATCAAAACCTGTCACTTTAACTGTCAGTAGCCCTCTTTTTTTTTTTTTTTTTTTTTTTTTTGAGACGGAGTTTCGCTCTTGTTACCCAGGCTGCTGGAGTGCAATGGCGCGATCTCGGCTCACCGCAACCTCCGTCTCCTGGGTTCAAGCAATTCTCCTGCCTCAGCCTCCCGAGTAGCTGGGATTACAGGCGTGCGCCACCATGCCCAGCTAATTTTTGTATTTTTAGTAGAGACGGGGTTTCACCATGTTGACCAGGATGGCCTCGATCTCTTGACCTCGTGACCCACCCGCCTCGGCCTCCCAAAGTGCTGGGATTACAGGCGTGAGCCACCGCGCCTGGCCAGTAGCCCTCTTTTAGCATTCTGAATTCTATAATCGTATTCTATAATCATCAAATCAGCATTCTGAATTCTCTAATTTTTTATTTTTTTAAGAAAATGCTTCTCATCTTCAGTAGTCTTTTTGGGGTCGAGGGATTTAAATAAAACTCTCTTTAAATGAAATTTAAAAAACACTGAAAATATATTATCATTTGAAAGAAATGTGTAAGTACTTTCTTCTGTACTAGTCCTCTTTCCTATAAGTACTTGTATTGGTCAGTTTCCACACTGCTGTATAGATACTACCTGAGACTGGATAATTTATAAAGAAAAGGTTTAATTGATGCAGTTCCATATGGCTGGGAAGGCCTCAGGAAACTTGTAATCATAGCAGAAGAATATGGGGAAGTGAGGTACATCTTCTCTAGGCAGCAGGAGAGAGAGGCCAAGCAAGCGAAGGGGAAGTGCCACACTCTTAAACCATCAAATCTCCTGAGAATAGCATGGGGAAACTGACCCCATAATTCAGTCACCTCCCACCAGGTTCCCACCCTCTACACGTGGGGATTACAATTCAAGGTGAGACTTGGGTGGAGACACAGAGCCAAACCATATCAGAACTTACCTTTAACAACAATAATTTAATAATAAACTTTATTCCTTAGTAAGAAATATTTTTATCCCTTTGTATTTTTTATTTTTGTAAAGTTTCAACATGACTTCTTTTCCCATAGAGTTTATTTAAAATGGGAAGTACTTCAGTAGTCACTTCATATCACTTTTGGCCCAAGTGAGACTGATGTCACATCGTGGAGTGCAAAGGAGTCTGTAAAGACTTTAATATAACCTATTTTTTTAATAGAATTTATTTTCATTTTCCTAAAACAACAGAGATTCAACTAATTGTATAATGTTGTCTTCTTGTTCTAGGTCTCCTAAAAACCCAGAACAGAAGATCATTAAGAGAGTGATTGCTCTTGAAGGAGATATTGTCAGGTAAGTATTTACTATTGTTTCTGAGTTCAAGTTTTATAAAATGTCTGGATTTTTGTTACCTATATCACTTGGGAAGTACATGTCATTCAAAGAGGGCCAAAGTTTTGGAGACATTCCAAATGAGCTGGTATATCTTTAGTGCCCATCATTAAACTTTCATGTTGTAAGGAATACATAAACTTTCTGATTATATTGTTATTATTTAATCCTGAAGTACAGGATAAATAAATATTAATTTAAATTAACCATCTATTCTAAAATGAACATTAAATCATTATTGATCAGATATTAAAATTACAATGATTATTTTAAGACTGTGATGTCAAGGTTCATTAAAAATTTCAAGGATATTTAATACAGAAACTAAGAGGACTGTTTTATACTTATAGAGATGTGAGAAAACTGAAAAGGATGTGAAACAGAAACTACTAAATCAGTGACAACAATGGAAGCTTGAGATGATAAGATTGTAACAATCAGGTGTTTAAGCAAGCTTTAGTGATGTATTTATTGTACTTGCTGATAAGTCAAGAACGATTGTTGACATTCAGCAAGTAAACATTGTATGGCACGATATGTCTCGTTGTGATTGCTTTCTTTAAATATATTGTAGCCAGGCCTAGACAATGTGGTGACCAAAATGCTTTGAATGCTACATTTCAGAAGTTTTCTGACCTTTTTTAAAAAATCTTGATCCTAAAGTATTTGTATTAATGATAGTTCATATTAATCAACCTCACTAAAATGAACCTCAGACAGTTTTAGAGCAGATTCTAGGCCAGCAGTTCTCACTGCATGGCCAGAGGATGCCAGGGGATTCCTAAGACCCTTTTAGGGTCTATGCAATTAAAACTACTTTCCTAATAATTCTAAGGTGTTACTTGCCTTTTTTTCACTCTCATTCTGTTGTGTGTACAGTGGAGTTTTCCAGATTTGTGATATTGGAATTGATTGAATGCAGGAGCAGATATGAGAATCCAGCTGTTTTCTATTAAGCCAGACACTAAAAAGATCTGCAAAAATGTAAACAAATCAGTCTTTTTATGATTTATTATTTGCTTTTGGAAAAGAACTATATTTTTTATTTAAATCCTATTGTTTTTGTTAAGAGTTTATTTTTGGTATTTTAAATTAAATCAATAAATGAAATTTTAAAATAATTTTCTATTTTAATTTCTAATATGGTAATTACTGATAAATAGTAGCCACATAAATAAAAGTTTTTTGAGATTTTCAATTATTATTTAAAATGTGAAGAAGTCCTGATACCAAACAATTTAAAAACTTATTGATGTACAAATTCATGGCAACAATTTTCATGTCAGGATTGACTGCTTATACTAGTAACCTACACGATATCAAAAACATGGGGAGAAATGCCAGATATAGGTGACAGGAAGATGGAGGCAGCAAACCACCTTGCTATGTATGTACCTATGCAACAATCCTGCATAATCTGCACAGGTACCCCAGAACCTAACGTACAATAATAATAATAATAATAATAATAATAATAATAAAAGACACAGAGATGCCAACAACCTGAAAACATTTTTGATCGAGGTATAATTTATTTACCTTGCAATTCACCCATTTAAAATATACAGTTCAATAAGTTTTAGTATAAATTTATACAATTTTCCAGTCCTCATAACAATCTAGTTTTTGAACACTTCTGTTACCTATTACCTTCAAAAGTTCTCTCTTGTCCATTTGCACTAAACTCCTGCTTTCACTCCCAGCCCCAGACTTCCACAGGTCTGCTTTCAGTCTCCAGAGTCTAGCCTTCTCCAGAAATTTTTTTTAAACGGAATTATACAATATATAGTCTTCAGTGTCTGCGTTTCTTTTGTTGTTGTTAACAGAATGTTTTTTAGGTTTCTCTGTATTGTGCATATTGTCTATAGTTTATTTTTATTCCTGAATATAATCTATTTTATAGACTTACCATATTTCGTTTATCCAGTCACAACTCGATGCATATTAGGATTGTTGCCAGTGTGGCATACTATGAGTAATTCTGTAGGTATTGGTATAAATACTATAAACATTTGCATCTTCTGGTGGAAATATAGTCTCATTTCTATTGGGTATACAGTTGGCTCTCTGTATTCATGGGTTCCGCATCCCTGGTTTCAACCAACTGAAGATGGAAATATTCAGAAAGAGAGAAAACAAAGGATACTGTGTCTGTACTGATAAAAAAAAAAATACAGACTTTTTTTCTTATCATTATTCCCTAAACAATGCAGTAAGACAAACATTTGCATAGCAGTTATATTGTATTAGAAATAAATAATCTAGAAATAATTTAAAGGATATGGGGGGATGCACATAGTTATATGCAAATATTACATCATTTTTGTGTAAGGAACTTGAGCATCTGTGGATTTCGGTATCTGTAGGGGGATTTTGGTATCTATATTTGTGAGAACTAATCTCCCACAAATACAGAGGGACAACTGTATCTGTGGGATGCTGAGTGTTATGGTAGATGCATGTTTACCTTTCTAAGAAACCATCAAACCATTTTAGAAAGTGGCTGGATCATTTCGTGTACTGCCAGCAATGCATTAGGAATCTAGTTTTTTTTTACATCCTTGTCAGCACTTGATATTGTCTATATTTTTTTATTATAGCCATCCTAGTGGGTGAAAAGTAGAATCTCATTGTGGTTTTAAATTGCATTTCTCTGAATCCTAGCGATAAAAATAAACTACAGTGCACACTTTCCATTCATATCTCTTTTTGGGTAAAATATCTGTTCAAATCATTTGTAAATTTTATATTGGGTTGTTTTGAGTTATAAGAGATTCTTTGATTATTTTAATGGAGTAAGCATTTGGGGGACGACGTATAATGCTATGATTTAGTCAGATGCAGGTCTATTAGTATAAAAGAACTTAGTTATCATTTCTTATAGAATCTATGTTCTAAACTAGAAGAACTTGGTGACTATTTTTTTCAATAGCCTCTCCAGCCTTCTGCTTTGTGGCAGAAACTGGGAAGAGAAAATTTAGAAAACCGTTGGATATACTTCCACAAATATCCAAAATACACTTTCAGTATTTGGAAAACAGCGTGTAGATAAGATGCAAATCCCATTCAAAGAACGTCAACAAACCTTGAAAACATTACTCTAAGCAAAGGAAGCCAGTCACAGAAGACCACATACATATGATTCCATTTATATAAAAGGTCCAGAATAGACAAATTCAAAGAAACAGAAATAAATTAGTGATTCCCAGAGGCATGGAAGAGGGGGAATGAGAGTTACTGCTAATGAGTATAAGGTTTTTATTGTTTTGGGGGGTTATGAAATTGTCCTAAAATTATATTGCCATGATGGTTACACAACTCTGTGAATATACCATACTAAAAACATTGAGTTGTACATTTTAAATGGATAAATTTTATCTTATATGAATTATATCTTAATAAAGCTATTTTTAAAACCCAAAAGAATGTGACAACAAAGCAGGCGAAAACGTCATCTATATAAAGCAATCTACCAGGATTAAGAGTACCAAAGGATCCATTTTACATTATAATCCAAAGAAAACACAGCTTTTAACTCAGATACATCAGAATTGGTCACTAGCTGAACAGCCACCAATATGAAACTGCAAAGCTTGGTCAAACATAAAAAGCTTTGTACAATCAGAAATCCTACAACAGACCTTTCTGAGGAACAGTTCAGGTTGTTGCTTTCCTCAGTACATGTAAATATTGGGTATACAGCGGAACCAGAGCCAGAGCAAGGGTTAATGATGCCAGGTTGGGATTTGAGGGAACAGGAATTGGATAATGTGAAAGGTCTACACTCTTGCTCCACTGCTGCAGCCCTCATGGAGTCCGTGAATTGACACCAGGGGCGTACAGCTCTATCTGTCCCCCTTTGGTACACCTCTCATATAGAGCAACCAAAAACATAACTGAGCACATATATTCCTAAAATGATTTTCCAACAGTGTTGAAATGTTAAGAGGTGATTAGATAATAGAGTGTTATTTACTGGTAAACATACATCTTTTCTCTGTGATTCGTTTTTTAAAGTGCAGAGCATATTAAAAACTATAAAAATATGCTGTCTACTACTAGAAGCCATTAGTCTACTGGTCCCCTGACTTGGGACAGGCAAGGTGCTTTGGTCTGTGATGTGGATGCCTCAGTCCCATCTTTCCTCTGCATATTATTAGATTACCTAGTAGGCAAGCTAAATTCAAATATAGATCACCAAAAGTATTTTCTTGGAAAGAATTTGATATTTCGTAAAATGATCAAGGAAAACAGTCTTATTTTTTAGGACTTACTTGTACTTACTGTAGGTTTCAGTAGTATTTTTATTTTGAATTACATATAATTAGAGGTTAGAGAATGAACCAAAATTTTTTTGGAGGTTAGATCCATTGAAGGATTAATACAATATTCCACTTAATATTCTGTTAGTTACACTCCACTCCATTAGGTGGCAAAAGCAGATATGTAGTGAAATATAGCTTAAAGAGCACTTAGGGGTATCTGGGGAAGTAAGGGCGGTAGGAGCCAGGGCTCAACTAGCCTTACTGCAGAATGGGAATGGCAGTGTTGCAGGACTTCTAGGTTTTGTCACTTGCACCCTCTGTCCACTGGCATATTGCTTTTGCCTATCTGTGTTTTGGTTGGCTTTTGCCCCACCACCAACTGCTGACTTCTTGGATGTGCCTCATTACCTGAGAGAAGTCTGAGTGTCACCCTTTGACATACAGATCTAGGACCTGTCCACTTGACAGATAGCTGGTCAACCAACTGCCTTTAGGGTAGGCATCCTTCCCTGGTCTTGTCAGCTGTAGGTGGGTAGACCAGTCATCTGCTGCACACCTTGTACTTAAAAGGAACCTGTTGGTAAGGGCTTGTTGGTGTGACAGATAGATGCACATCCCAGAATGGGGCATTACAATAAACAGACACTTTGCTCAGAATTGCCTTTTGAAACATTTCAATAAAACTGTAATCTTCTC